GGGATGGGATCAGGGAAAGATTCCACAAAACGTTCGTCTACAACCTCGAGGTCGTGGTCAGACCACGCAAGGTCGAAATGGTTCGTCGACTGGTGCTGTGGTGATGCTTCAAACCCAGTTCAACAGCCGTGTGGTCCTGTAATCTTCGTCGAAGCCAACAAGCGCCGCAGGGTTCTGGGGGCTGTCTTGCGGTGGGAGAATGCGAAAGGCAGTCGTCGACGGTTCTACATGAAAAATGTGTATGGTTCGAAGGGGAACGTCGTTGCCCGTGCCAAGGGGGCGGTTCTCGACATGTGTCTGTTCGAGGGGTTCGGAGCGGGTGCTGCGAACACCCCGTTCTTCAACGACCTCCGGCGGCAGGGCGGGTTTGTTTTGGGTCGAGAGTTCTTCGACTTGTCGGAGGACAAGGACATTGCCCTCGACGTCCCTTGCGAAGTCGGCCCCAACCTGGAGCTGTCAATGCCTTTGCACCTGTGCGGCCGTTGTGAGTCGAGCGGGGCAGCGGGGGAGGGGGGGGATCTGCGTTCTGGCGAGGCTACACATGTGCAGCGGGAGGATGCCAGAGGTCAGTTTGACGACAGCGAAGATGAGGCGACACCGCGTCCGCCGTTTTCACCGTCGAGGGAAAGAGACCGGTCCGTGCTGTCCATACCTGGGGTCCGGCTACAAACCCCTGTTCGACAAGAGGTCGCAACAGATCCCAGAGAAGAGGCAGTCCAGTGTGGGTCCGACTTGGAGCCCGCCGAGGGCCATGGCGCGGACGACAAGGCCGTGGGCGGTGAGGGAGTGCAGGGGACTCCCCAAAAAAGGAGGGGAGATTGTCAAGAGGACTTGGTAGGCTCTTCGAAGAAACAGAAGACCAGGACCCCGAAGACTACGGGAGAGAAACGGAAGGGAAGGGGGGGTGGAAGAGGACCACCCGGGTAGCAAACGTCCGGCTTCAAAACAGAAACAGCTTGCGTCAGGACCTTCCAGGACAAGGCCTGCCATCGACGTGGACGCCGTGTACTTCCTAGAGTACAAAGATGGCGTCAGAACAAGGCGGGAGTTTGAGATTAGCCCGGCTCAGATCGTCGACCTCGGGGAGTGGGAGGATCTTTACAACCAGCGGTCGCTGGATTCTGTCCTCGTGGGAACAACAAAAGAAGCAATGCAGTATGCATTCGAAAATAAAAAGCAGACGTACGAGTTGCCGATCTTCAAGCCCGCACCACTGGGGCTTCAAAAACCAACTCCAGGGACCGAGGCACAACGTCTGAAGCCGGAGGAGTGGAAGGACGAGCTGGCGGGAGAATACTACTACTACGCGGTGTGCGGGCAGCATAACGTGACTGCAGCCCGGTCGCTGCTCGGCAGCGAGGTGGCCAAGAAGTACAATTTCGAGCGGTGGCCGGCGCGAATGCTTTACTTTTTGGACGACGACTTCGAAGGGTATTTTCTTGTTAGTTCACAGGACAACAAGGACCTGAAGGCGCCTCCCAGGCAGTTGAAACTGTCTATGAAAGACATTCGGTGGCAGTGGAAGCATGACGGCTGCCCGAGAGTTGTAATGGGGAACCCTAGCGGGAAACAAGATCAGGTCCGGGCTTGGCGTAAGTTTTGTACAACGGCGCTCCATAAGGCGCCTTACAACAGCTTGTGGATTCTCGCGGATCAAAAGGAAGAAGAGACCCTTAAGAAGCAAAATGCTGCCCTGCGTTCTTATTTCCCTCTCACGATGGCCGGAGAAAATGTCTGGAAACTGGCCGTGGAATTTTTCGAAAAATGGGAGACGGGTAGATTGTTGAGCCACGACGGGGCGAAGTGGATCGTCAAAAAGAAGAAGGTCAAAAACGTCAAGCCTGGGGTCGCCTACATCCACAACGACAAGTTGGGCAAAACTGAGGTGGTGTACAACGTCCCCGTGGACCCACCGAATAAGAAAGGCAAAAAGGAGAAAGAGGAGGGCGATTGGTTCGTGCAAGTGCCCGACCCGGATGCGCATTGTTGGAAAGCAATGGAATCACTCACGGGCAATGAGAAGTGTCGCGTTCTTAAGAAGGTGCTTGCTTGCGAGGTCGTTTGGGTCCAGGTCGACTCCCCGTCGTTGGCGAAGTTGGGGAAGCTCAGCGTGTAGGACATGGTGCAGCTGGTGAAGTGCGACCACGTGCTGGTCCGGTTGTGGAATTACTACCAATTCAAACACGAGAAGAGGCCGGACGCAGATTGGATCCAAAGGTACCCTTTCCTGAAATCGAGGTCTGCAGTGTTCAAGAAGTTTGAAAGTCAGGGATTGGATGACGAGTTGTGGGATAACAGCAGGAAACACGTTTTCGACTCGGCGTTGTTTAAGGACTGCATGCCGTACATGGGTTGCGACCAGGACAACTCGATCGAGGTGACGGAGAAGTTGGCGGGCCACAAGAAGTTGTCCGTCGACTGGAGAAACAAGGTTCTCTCCGTGTTGAATGGGAGCAGACTGAAGAGCCGGAAGGTCGCTCTTGCCGAAGGCATTGTACACATTAAATGGAAAGATACGGGGGACGTGACATCCATCGCGCCATTCGCTAACGACCCTTTGGAGGCGGACATCAGGGGCGCAGAGCTGAAGGAAGCAGTGACTGCCACAAAGAGCCACACGTTCGTCCTCGATCTGTGCGAGCCGGTTGACCTCAAACTGTGAAAGACCCAAGCGTGGGAGACTTTGGATTCCTATCTTCAAACGTAATGTCCGTCGCATTGGACTCTCGTTGTTTTCGTGCCACAGCAGAACAACCTCACGTTTCTCGCTAGCATGCATCATCTTTCTTTCGTTAAGCTGTTGGAAGGGAAGTGGGTGAGGAGAGTTCAGCAAAAGAAAAGCTTCCCCGTTGGGAACAATTTGTACACGAAGGAAGACTGCATGTACATCCTCTTGAAGGGTGACGATCTGCTCGCCAACACGTTCGTGGTCTACGAGGGAAACCTGCCCAGGGGTGCTGCTGCTGCGGTGCGATTGCATCAGAGGGTCACCCAGATGGATGTGTCCGAGATTCCCTTTGTGCCTTGCGATTGGTCGCTGGTGGCGCCGAAACGACAGGGCAGTGTCTACGGGGATATGGAACGCAATCCGATACAATTCGTCGGTCTTCTTGATTTCCTTAGCAAGAAGGGAAAGGGTGTCGTGTTCCTTGGGAAACCGCACGCCCGAAGCGTCTGGGATCTTCTGAAGGCCGGCCAACATGTTGTCGCGATGGAAGGGAACGCCGAGCTCTTGCAATTCACAATGCAGGTGGTGAAAAGCGAGGTCAATTCGGGCGGGCACAATTGTGAGTTCATGGTCGTGAAGCCAACACGGGATAAGGTGCGAAGCAACAAGACGGATATGTGGTTCAAGTTGAGCGAGAGGAAGAGGAACAAGATATACGATTTCTTGTTCCTTCAAACGCGGCCGAGGAAGGACACTGACGCTGAGTACGTCCGCCGGAAGGACCACATGTTCGCACTGCTCGACAACTACCACTTCGCCTCCCGCATGAACGCGAAGATGTTTCTCGATAGGCTACAGTCGCTGTACTTCGTGGAGTCCGAGGAGCAGTTAAACTTACCCATTTACGCTTCCCTGATCTCCACTGATGACGAGGAAGCCACATGTGTGGAGTTCGTCGCCAATGCGAAGGAGGAGGAGAGCGACACAGAGAGCATTGACCTGGAGTACGACCCACCTCCGGCAGACCACGACCGAGGGTCCTCGTCGGTCGGTCCGTCACCGAGCGCTGCAGCCCTCGTGTCACCGTCGGCCAAACCGGCGTCGGGCACCACGCCGATGAAGTTGCTGGAGAGACTCAGAGCTCTGGTCGTCCCCCCACCCGCTTTGCGTCCCGGGTCCGACATCCCGCCCGATCATCCATCTTGGAAGGATGACCACATCCACTTCCTGCTTGAGCCACAACGTCATTCGCCTGAGCTGGAATGGGGCCATGACATGGTGTGGCATCCGGGAGTCATCCAGCCAGCGATACGAAAGGGCGAGTGGGTCATGGCCGTCGCAATCCCGGGCGCAGGATGGGTGTCATTCCTGCACGAGTCGAAGTCCAACTTCCTGCACCTCGCGAGGATTTCGGTCCTCCAGAAAGTGATGGCCGAGAATGACACCTTTGCACCCGGTGACCAGGGTTGTCGAGCCCCGGCCCCGGGGCCCCGGCGGGGTTCCGGGGTTCCGGGGGTGGGCACCCCCAACCCCGGCTCCAGACCCCCCCGCAAAAAAAAA